TCTTCTTTTTTTTTTTTCCTTTTTTTTTTGGGGGGGGGTTGGGGGGTAATCGATTTTTTTACACTTTTATAATTGGGTTTCATGATTATTTGGGTTGCTTAGTATTTTTTTTTTTTGGTGTGTTGGGGAATTCGAGGGTAGAAGAATACGTGAATACGAGGCTTTGGGAACATGATATGTATTCATGAATTCTTCTATCCATATATATATGTTTGCATAATGTATTCATATTATAAAAAATTTCGTATATTCTGGTTTCACTTATGAGAATACAGATTACGAGGGAGGAATTTGAGCCCCGCACGAGATGCTCTGACGTTTATATGAAATGCATAAGTTTCTTTTTGCAATAATATTATATTCATTATATATATATTTTACCAAAATTTGCCACATATGGTAATGATTATCAAATCCCAACGCATCGCATGAGGCAAGTGATGTGAGTTTTCATCTTTTATTCCAACAGGCATGCAGCGCCACGAGCATTCGGGGAAGTAATAGTTACCGGAGGCAGCTTTTGTTGCTTAATGTATTTTTATCTTTTGACTTGTGCCCTAGCGTGATCATTATCTACCATTAAATCTTTTCACTCGACCTCTCCGTTCATATATGACTTTTCTTTTTTATTTTTCCGAAATACCTTTCGTATATATTAATGCAATATATAAGCCAATATGTTATATATGATGTTCATTTTCCTTTCAAATCATTTGTTTTGATAAACCTTAAGATTAAAGAAGAATCCGTTTCAATGAAATAAGAGATGGATTAAAGGAGAATCGGTCGTCGTGATTTGAATCTTCTCGATTCCAAAAAATAAAATAGAATAAACACAGAACTAGAGAAAGACAAAGAAGGCGACTTGTTATGTGGTTTAAGTAAATCAAAGGGTTTTGAAGAAGACAAAAGTTTACCTGCCCCAACTAAAAGCCGTTCGTAATTATACATAATTACACCGGAAAAAAAAGTTAATTATTATTATTATGGTTGATATTATTATTTAAGCAAACTTAGTGGGATTCGGGGGCGACCGCATGGGTTTCCTTGAAATATCATCATTCTACTTGACATTTTTTTATCTCCCTTCACCAAGACTTGAGCCGTACGGGGCCATACCTAATCTCGTCGACCGTCGTAATGTGTAATCGTCTATCAAATACCCGGAATATAAATATCATCAGAGATCTGCGGAATTGCATGTGGAAAACGCGAGACGAACAACATGTACAAGTTGAAAGATTCTTATAAAATCAAATTAAAAGAAGGAAGTTTCGGTACGTAATTATCACAGACGAACGAGCGAAATGATTAACAAAGACAAAAGGAGACATTCGTGGCATATGATGATCAGTTAACGGCTTGAAATGCGGAACAAGATGCCTTTTATTGTGCCTCCGAACCAAACATTATTTCTGTCCCTTAACATATGATGATTTGTTGTATTTTTTTTGGACTTTATTACTAGAATTATGTATATACTATATATATATAGATAGAGAGAGGAATTGAAACTTGAAAGGGGGGAGCAGACCAAGGGATATTAAAAAGAAAAAGAAACAAAGCAAACCCCGCGATATTCTTGCAGTGTATAAAGAATCTACGCTAAATACGCATGGTCGCTTTATATACATATATATACACACACACACATACAGGACGCAGTGGAAAGAGTCAACTAGTGGGGAAAAGCTGTGATATTTCTTACAGTTATACATAGCCAAAGAAATTAAAAGTGAAGCAGAGAATCTGTCACGGAAAGATTTCATCATATATATATATATATATATATATCAATATGAGAGAGGACCATCCAACATTTATATTTGAATTTTACAGAGAAAGCCACCATCTAAAAAAGACCGCAAATATAACGAACGAGGGAGAGCATCAACATCGATTTTAAACGTTACGGGGCTTTAATTTTTTGTACTCTTCGAGTAACTTTTATCACAACCATTTTCATTTTCATCCAAAAAAAACTCTTTTATCACCACCTCCACCTGAGTACACATATACTACGTACGTGTGTGTGTATATAAAGTTATCTAGAAAATTACCGTAGAGAAAAAATCGCAAAGAATTCAACAACACAATCAAGAAAGAGAGAGAGGGGCGCGTGTACACGAGAGCATGGAGATAAGATCACATTCGTCACACAAGACAAACCATAAGTACATCTCCTACACATGTTGCCTGCTATGCAAAGGGGGTTTTTTAAAAAAAAAAAAAAAAAGGTCGTATGTTCAACCCAGAACAAACAACGGTTAGACGAAACCCAATATTCTTACACCGTTAACACTTTAAAAAAAAAACCCCACCATTTCCTTCAGAGAAGCATGCCCTCCCTTCTGCCATCCATCGTCGTGTTCATGCTCTCGTTCTTTGAACAGGCGACCGGCTGTTTATTTATTACATACACAGCACACACACACACACACACAAAAAACATCGTGAAACAAAACTCAATCAAATCCATTCAGGCAAAATTGTTTCCATTTCATCCTACCTGCGGTATCGGTCATAACCTGGGGGGCTCCTGGCCCTACCATAATCCGGACTCCTCCGTCCGTAATCTGGACTCCTACGTCTTTCAACACCTCCCGTTGGACCCTTGTACCTGTCGTATTCTGGACTGCGTGGACGGCCGTAATCAGGGCTTGGCCGCCTCCTGTACACCGGGCTAGGTGACCTCCCGTATCCAGCCCCCCTACTCGGACTCCCTCCATATCTTTCATCTCTCTCGTCATCATCCCGTAACGCATACTCCACCGATACAACCCTGTCCAGTATTTTGCTTCCAAGATATGACACAAACAGGTAAGACAGGTTAGTTGAGCACACTATCTTTCGCACGATGTGTTGCCTTTCGGATAGTAAAAACAAGCTCCAAGAAGCCGAGTTACCTCCTCTGTGTGCATTCGAGGGCCTTGGTAGCATCCTCCTGTGTTGCAAACTGAATAAATGCAAAATTGCGTCTGATACGGACATTCAGAACTTTACCATGCGGCTCAAAGTGCCTCTCAATGTCACGTTCTCTCGTGTGAACGGGATCAAAGTTGATGACAAACAGTGTCTTAGTAGGCCTCTGGTTTACAGCTGACCTCCCATCACGAGGCTTACCACGTTCACCCTGATAGCCAGAAGAAACTTATAACTTTTCCTATCATAACTAATACAGAAGATTCAAGAAATTTAAGAAACAGATACCTTGGCCCATTCGACAGATAACCTACGCCTCTCGTATCCAAAAGGGGTATTGTCAAGCCCACGAATGGCATCTTCAGCATCACGTTCATCCTCAAAATAGACAAAAGCATATCCTGCAAAACAATAATACACGATAAATACAGAAGCGCAAAAAATGATCTACATCGGTGAATAAAACCTGCAGTGCAACAGATTAGCCAATAAATGGAATCTCGCTTTCCCTAGGAAAAAACTGAATAGATATACAACACCTGCATATATGTGAAGGCTGGTGAACTAAAGACGTAGAGGCGTTCCATGGTGTAGAAAATCAAGATGGTAGCATATGAAAGGTAAAAAATCCAAGTTTTGAATTCTGAGTGTTTGCTAGGCATGCTTCACCATTCTGAGAGCAGGAGTTCAGATATGGAAGGCATGATGAAACAAGGCATGGCATAATGGATTCAACTAGAACCCCATCTGATCAGTGATGGTTGTATACACGACAAATGCCAAGGTTTCCCTAGTATCAGCGAAGACGGTAGGCACAACATGACTAATTTTGTCGCTCCCCGCCGATACCATACTTTTGAAATGGCAGGCAGTGAAATGGATGACAGATGTAGAGTGAGGAAAGGGCAGAGATATAGCAAAAGTCAGGAAAAGAAACTCAAGTTCCTTTTTTTGTAGAAGGTTCCTGCGATCAAATAAACTCTTAATACGGGTATCCTCTTTTGCATAAAGCCCTAAAGTACCGCTCTTTACGTCTAATGTAATTGAAACTAATGAATTCGGAAACAAATTATACTTCGGTGACATAAACACCAGACATCGTGGTTAACGTTTTCACTGTTAAGTTATGGAAACAACTAAGAATGGCCAAACCTAGACCACAGATTAGCAAATCAATCTTCGAATTGCAACATAGGTAAAAAATTTACACCCAACAGACTGTCCCAACGTAAACCTATATAAGTTTCTTAATGCATGCCTAAATTTCTCGTACTACCAGGCAATATCTCTAAAAGAAGATACCAGAAACACTCGAGTGACAAAACCTATACTTACCAGATTTCATGTCCACTCGCTCCACTCTCCCATACTTGCTGAACAATCGCTCGAGCTCCGACTGGCGAGTATCATATTCGAAGTTCCCGACGAACACCGGTCTCATTCTTACAGAACTTTGAGAACTGATAACGACAGAGCGCCAAGGAAAAAATTAACGAAAATCAAAACATCGATCGCGAAGAGAGAAATTATCGCAAAGATTAGAAAAGACTTGGATTGAGCGCGACAGAGATGGAAAATTCACCTTGAACGCAGTTTTAGACTCACGGAGACGACGATAAAGAAACCCTAGACGATGCTCGCCGGAGAATGCGGGAACCGCTTGGGGAATTTCTTTTTCACCCCAATTTATAGAAAAACGAGAGAAGAGAAGCGTGTCATTGACGCTGTCTCGACGACCGTCCGATCATCAGGGGCAATTCAGGAATACTATACCATAATTTATGGGTCAAAAAATAGATGGGCTTTTTTCTTGTATTGGGCCTTGACATTCATACATTTATCAAATGAAGAGGGCCTTTTGGGTATTTCGTAATATGTACCCGGGTGGTAACCTATATATGACTATGACTGCCACCTCGCTCGACTGTCACTCTGATGATGATGTGAGTGATAAGACATCCGATTTGTCATTAATCAATGGAAATGATAATGATGATGATGATAATAATAATAATTAAGATCATGATACTATACTATAGGAATTGGAATTCTCATTCACGTATAAATATAACGGAGAATGGTGGTCCATTGGATCATCATCATCCACTTTCCAAACCGTTAAATCCTTTATTAGTTTATTGTTATATGAAAACAAAGATGTTTATAGAGATGGTGGCGATAGCTTTAAAAAAAATGAATCATAAAAAAATACAGAATATGGGCCCATGGAATGTCCAACATTATTTCTCGGCCCATGTTCAAGTTATGACCCAAAACAGTTTACATAAAAATTTTCTTAAAAAAAATAAATGTAGGATATATATATATATATATATATATAACTATTTGTCGCCTTCCTACCTATGTCGTACGCTTTGAATAATAACTTCCAAATGGGATTCATTTAATTCGTGTCATTTATGCGTGTTCGTTGTATCACACCCAATAAATTTTAAAAGTGGAATTTAATTCCGGGACATATCACGAATATCACGGCCCACTAACCCAATTAACTTTTGAACCCTATATTTATTTCTCTAATAATTACGACATCATCGCCACACCGAATGACATTTTCTCTAAGAAAAGAAGAACATGTATATGGATACACACACACATATATATATATATATATATCCACAGTAACATTCTGCATGTATGTATTTTAGATTATAGCTCTTGTAAAGAATAATAAACACTTTCACTTGGGATAACCGGACACAGAATTGTTGGCAGCAGGGGTCATGGATGTGGTTTACTCGGTCACTTGTTGTCAGATTTTGCCACCGGGCATCTATCCATTCACGAAAATTATCAAACATAAATGAAAATTTCAACCAAAACATACGTTATATCTCTTCCAAGAGAAATGAGAGAAAGCTACTGTTATTAGGATCCACTTATTTATGGGAAGAGGCAAATGAGAACAAACAAATGGTAACAAGATATAAAAGGACAAAGAGAAGAAGAAGAAGAGTGTGTGTGTGTGTGTGTATAACCGATATAATTGTGAAAAGGTGGGGTAACGTATGCTCGTCAAAAAAGCTTTGGTGCTTGCATGCATGTGCATGGCTTTCATCATCCATTAATTGTTATAAGATGTGATAAGTATCCGACGACGCCTCTTCCCTCAATTATATATATACATCGTTTTCACGTGGAAACACAATCTCTGCGTTACAATGGTTGCAAAAGAAAGTTTTATCCCGTTTCTACGTAATCAAAATTTATTTAAATTTTTTTCTTATATCGAATGGATAATTATACGAATTATGTGTTGTTTCGATGTGAAAGAAAGAAAGAGATAAGTTTTATGAGAAATGGAATTCCTGGTTTACATAGCAGCCTCAAGCATATAATATAAATTCATTCGCACTGTGACTAATATCGACTAACCGAACCTGTTTGGTCACAATCATAGAGGCCAAATTCATGTTTGCTCGATGTATACCATCACGTACACGATAATATTTCGTTAACGAAACAAAACCCAATTATATCGCATCGTTTGTTTCTTAGGTTAAAGTTTTTTTTTGTTGGTATGAATTGTTAGGTTAAATTTAATACGAGACGATAAATAAATTTTCACCTTCTTGGGTTGCGGTAAGAGAAAATACTTCGCCATCATTTTATGAGTTATCCAAAGTTGATAACCAAAAAAAAAAAAGACGTTAAATCGCGAGTTATTTCCCCCCAAAATATAAATTATATATAGAAATAATGGAATTCATGATTTTGGGTGTGGAAGTGATGGTTGCTTAAATTTTCTGCTGACCATGACATTAATTTGTTGCATTCGATATATATAAATATAATATTTGGTAATTTAAATATAATTTGATGAAGATCCGACCAAGAATTCGTATGTTGACGACAAATCAGATAATACAGCAACAGAGCCTAGAAACAATGGAAACATGGCAACATGCCAAAGAGGAAAATAAGAGGGGATTAATAATTGGGTCAAAAAAACTTTAAAAAAAATAAAAAATAAAAATGGTTTGGGTGTAAAATCGAGAGACATTGAAAATGCAAGAATATCGGCGGAATCGAACATGCCAGATATACCCAACATTTTCACAGGTGGCTCCCACCGACTGGCTAATGGGACCCACTATTCAGCTTTGGACACGTGGCGTCATCTGGAGCGTCCTCATCCCTCCTCTTCCTTCCTTCCCCTCCTCCTCTAATTGATTTATTCTTTGGTGTCACAGACTATTGGTTGCTCGCTAGTGGCTTTCCTCTTCTACTGATAAGAAGAAAGAAAACAATGAAGGTACAGTTTTTTTTTTGTTTCATTAATTTACCCATATTTCATATTATTATTTTTTTTTCTACTTCTGAATTCTCTCTCTTTTTTTAATTCGTTCGTGTATTTGTTTGTAGATCTTCAACTGGGTGCAGAGGAAACTGCACCAAAATGTCATCAAAGGTTAGTTTTATTTTCCATTTAAATGTTATGCGTCTTTCCATTATGTTTTTGGCAGAGGAAACCAATAAGATCCAATAACTATAATGATTATTTATTTTCTTATAGTGAATATATATATATCATGCGTGGCCTCATTTTTCGCTTACTTGTTATAGTAGTATCATGCGGTTCGGTAATGTAATTATTTTATACTCTTTAACGATATTCCTAAAGAAAACATAAATCAACATATCCACCCTTACATCTCGTACTTTTCGGCATTCTCGAAACATAAATCAACCTATATATATATATACACGCGGCTTTTTAATATATTTGGAAACGGTAATTTTTGTAACAAGCTACAGATGGCGTGGTGAAAACCGTCAAGAAGAATGAGCCGAGTGAGATTGACAAGAACACAAAAGCTATACTCGACCAGGTCGGCTTGGTCGAAGTTCTTGAGAATTGGGTCGATGGAGTTCTCACCATCGGCACATTCGGCTTCGACACCCTGAAATACTCCGACGACAAAGAAAAATACGATTCCTCAGAAAATGAAGAAGGAGAAGACGTCGGAGATGATGATGATGATGATGACGGAAGCATGGATCTTGATGACGATGAGTTCACCAAGAACTCTGTGATCGTCTACAAAGATGAAGAGTTAGATCCATTGATTTCCACCACGGACGGATCGCACGACAATGGGGATGACCTAGGGTTCGGGATCGTGGGCTCTGAATTGATGAGAGCCGTCGATTGCGTTGACTTTACTCCCGGCGCAGATGTTGACTTCCGTGGAAGGAAGAGGAGAACGACCTTGGCCGAGCTGTTCATGGAGGACGGAGACACGCATTTCAAGAAATGCTTGAACCCTCTTGAGATTGAATCGAGTTACGGCAAATATAAGCTCGATGGTTCGAAACTAAGTCGCCTCTCGTTCGCCAAGAAGATCGCGTCACGGGCCAAAGATCACGACTCGCGTCCCATCAAGAAACTGCACCAGGTAACATCCGATTATATATAACCTCATTTGTGTGTGTGTGTGTGTATATATCAATGATGCATGAACTTGAACGGAACGACGTCACATCGCACGTTAATTCCATGTTTCTTGTTGCCTCATGATGTGTACTCCGTAGCGTATATTGTGTTATGAGCTTTATTCCTCAACATGTGTTATCTGTTGTCGTATATATATACATACATATGATATGTTTATAAATATGATATGTTTATATATATATTGGTTTTGATGTGCTATGGCTTCGGTGAAATTGCAGATGATGAAGAGGATGTTGAAGAGGAAGATCCATCCGGACGTTGACGTGGGAAAGACTTGTAAATCGGACGGACTGAACAAACCAATCAAGAAAATTGAAGCTGCTGAATCAATCCATCTTCTTAATATTCCAGGTTCGTGCGTTTATATATTTCCCTTTTCATACACGCACACACACACATATATATGTATATGTATGCACTATACACGCAAACCTGTATTGGTATACATATACGTATATATGTGATACATGCACGTACACATTGTTGTGTATAGTTACAACACATATGAACGGAAACACTTATATATGCATGTGCCAATCGAAATTTTAGTTTAATCTATCGATTTAAAATTTCACAAATCATCAGTTATCCCACCAATCTCATCTAATTTCACTTTAAGAAATTGTTTTATAAAGGTAATATGTGGTCCCTAAAATCTCCTTTTTTTTCTAATAAAGTGAAATGTTCCATCTTCATTACGCTATTCAATTATTGGTCTGTTTTATATGTTTGTTCACTAATTAATTAACTTATATTTCCAAAATAAATTTCTGCAGGTCCTGTGGTTTAAGGTCTCGTTGCTATATGTTCGTGATTTTTCTTCTCCTTAGTTTATATATATGTATGTTGCCTTTTGATTTAATTTGATAGAGTATATATATGCTCGATTTCATTAAGATTTGTGTATTGTGGTTTTGATGTATGTACTCTACAAGGTGTGCTCCCCCCTCATGTTTAAACCCTAAACCCTAAGTTGTTATTGTTTCTTGGTTTTATATATGCTTATATTTCTATTTATTTGCATTATAATCCGCATGTAATCATTGGTTCCATTCTTTCCTTTACAGTATACATTATTTGATTGCAGACGTATATAAATAAAATAAACTTTTCAAAACGGCGACAAAAAAAAATAAATAAATGGGTTTGAAGTATATATAGCTAATGAATAGCGTCAAACAAAAAAAGAAAAATCACGACGATACTAATAACTATTTTACGTGTTTGATTAGATAGGTCAAAGTTTAAAATTCAAAATTCAGAATGTTTTATTATTGTTGTGCTTAATTAAGATTCCAATTTCACCCCTCGTTTTTCAAGTCCAACAACGACCGACACAACAAACGGGCTTTAGTGGGCCTAGTGACAGGATTCATATTGGGTCGTAATTGGGCTCAATCGCAAACAGTTTTTGGGCCTAATATGTTATATTCAGGGTAAAAAAGACTGAAGATCCTGATGATGGGCTTAATACTGTGATTCTGTGAAGGCCTAGAGAGAGAGAGAGAGAGAGAGAGAGAGAGAATGTGGGAAGAGCTGCACCAACTCAGCTACCACATGTTGCTTTGAGGGGCCATGTTCTTCACGTTTGTCACTCTGGGTAGGTACAATTTTACCCTCCACTCATTATTCAATTTGATTCATACACGTAATTACCAGCAGTAACTTTTTAATATTAGCAAGTTGACAATTTACTCATATATTATAGTATCTTATGGTCTCTTATTCCTCTGGATTTACTAGTAGACTTAAGAACAAAGTCTGTATATTCCACAGTTCTTGTCAATATTTCGTATTCCTATAAAAATTTCAGTGAAACCTATAAGGTAAGGCAAAACCAGTAATGGACTGTGTATTCGACGTTTCTGATTGGGAATTTGAATCTTTTGGAACGTTGAAATATATACGGAAGAAGATCATTAATTAACTCTTAAGTTACTCAAACATTTTTGTAAATTTACCAGATCGTCTCTTCGGAACCAGGAATAGCCGTCGTTGTCGGGAAAAATATAGGCCATGTATTATTTCTATAAAATAAAATAAAAAAACCGAAAATCTGTTCAACCAGAAATAAAAATATTATAAAGAGGCGGCAGTTCATACAGTTCTTATTACATCGGTGTAATTAAGAGCAAACTCTTGTCTTTATTTCTCTCTCCGTATGCAATTTTGGTTTTCTCTTATCCGTATCGGTAAAAAATCATCTGTTTCTGGTTGGGTTTCTGCAGAAGCAAAGAGAGATGGCGAAAGTCATTTCCTTCCAAGAACTTGCGAAGCACAAGTGCAGGAACAACTGCTGGATTCTCATCCATGGAAAGGTCTGTTTGTGTGCGTATATATATACATACATATACACACACACACACACACTCACTATATATATATGAATGATCAGTGCCATGGTTTATATAGACACGAAAATACATTCGCAGGTTTATGACGTCAGCAGCTTCATGGATGAACACCCCGGCGGCGACAATCTTTTGCTGTCCGTAACTGGTATCGCCCTTTTCTCCTTGTACTCCCCAATTTAACATCCATCCCTTTCTAATCCTCTATCTATATATACATATACACACACACATATTATATATATCGTTTTTTCTGAATGTATAAAAGGGAAGGATGCGTCGGATGATTTTGATGACGTGAGCCACAGTGAGGAGGCGAAGGGGATGATGAAGAGGTTTTACATAGGTGACGTCGACAGACAGACTGTCCCCGCGACCAAGAAGTACGTCCCTCCATGGAAGGAGTCGAAGACTGCTCAGTCAACGGCCACCGTCAATGCCGCGTCAGCTAAAGCCTCCGGGTCCCACAAGATGTTTCAGTTCTTGGTCCCTCTCCTCATCCTCGGAGCCGCCCTCGTTTTCAGATTCTACACCAAATGACGGAAAGGATTACGATACTCTTGTTTCATTATATTATATTCGGTGTCTGCGTAATGTTACGTATATGGATTGTGTTTGTAATAATGGACCGTCAAGACCTTGTTTTCGGCTGCTGTTGTTATAGCATACAATTGAAACGAAACGTTGTGTTATTATGTGATTGAAGTGTGAAAAGTTAAAACCAAGTCCGATATCGTTGTTGGGCTTTGAATGATGGGCCTACTGCGCCATGTTTTCTAACACTAAATCCATTTTTTGCATTTAGGCCCAAAAATAGAAGGAAACGTGGAAACGTAAATTTCCTAAGGCCTTGTAAGCCCACTTAAACTTGCCCATCGAACTTTCATATACAAGCCTATTGAGATTCCGTTTAATATGGGCCTAAATCATAGGCCCATATAAGAAATGTGCTTAATAATATTTCTGTCAATCTCAAAGCCCATATATTGGTTGAAGCCCAAGTTCTTGGGCCAGTCCTCGTCTCGCGCTAAAAACACGACAAGGAAAAGCCCACGTGGCTCGTTTGACGTGCTCTGCATGATTTTTTTTTTTAAATTAGTTATTGTGATTTTGAGTGTGTAAGTATCTATGTATGTATATATATATACGGAAAAGTAAATAAAGGGGGTAAAAGAGGAGAGAGTATTCGAGAGAAATGGTAAAAATAACAGTGAGGGAGGTAAGAATTGACAAGTAGGGGTCTCATCAATGGACCTTCGAATGGGTCTCTTATAGAACTTCGGCTGTTAAGATGGAACCTAAGCAACCGTCTTCTTCACTCACTGCCTTTAAATCCACACATGTTACTTTCTGTTTTCGTTTTTTTCACTGCCTTCCTTTTTTTATTTAAATTATTATTTTCTACTTGTCACATATATATATATATATATATGCTGAATATTGTTGTTACAATTATTTTTTTTAAAGAAAACGAATAATATGGTGATGTCAATAGAAAAGGAAAAATAAAAAAGAGAAAAAAAGAAGAAGAAAATGAATAAGATGAGTTGGAATCTCTTTCGAGGGGGGCAGAGGGAGAAATAAATGAGATGCAGAGGATACCAACAAATAACGCATTAAATGCCGTTGTACTCCTCATTCATCTTTCGCTAATTACCATGCTACCCCCTATTTCTGTTAACATTCTTAATTTTCCTCCTTTTTTTAAAAACTTCAATTTAAGCCATAGAATTATCTCTTCAATCTTTAGTTTGTTTTTCTTTCATTCGTAAGCCTTTGTCTATTACGCATGTATGTATTAGTCATGCGATAGATGATAGAGAAGCCATTTTATCGTGTTTTGTTCTCCACTACTAAGTACTAACTATATAGGGGGTGCAAATTTTAATATAATTTATAATGTGAAACCATTTGAAAACAGCTGCCGAGTTTTAAAGCCTTGAAAACAGTGGTACGACACCCATCTAATAATAATAATAATAATAATAATAATATGGTGAGTAAAATATAAAATTACGTTTAAAGTTTTGAATAAAATAAAAGGAATGTAAGAGGGGACAACGTGGGTTGTGGGATGTGCTGGGATTTGACATTTACGACGTGTTTCTCTCTCTCTCTCCTCAGACACAAGTCTCGAAGACTGTCGAAACGTTGAAATCTGGAGCCAGAATCGTCTTCTCCATTTGTCATTCTCATGCACAGTATACGTATTTTTCTTACGCATATATACACGTGCATATAGATACGTACATATGTATCAGAACAATCTGCTGTGTATTTGTTTAATATACGCAGCACAGCGAATTCATGAGGATTCTTGGACATTAGAAAGCTCACAAATGTCGCAGCACATGTCGCGGGCTCTCTTCTCTTGTTACAGAAATAAATTAATAGCTTTGTTTTTTTTTTTGGTTAATTTCCCGCCTTTACTAATGTGCTACTGACGTATCAAATGTATAAGATAACGACATTAATGCATAATTTCATAATCTCGATGCAACCGCAACGGTCCATATACAAAATCTAAAAATACTCATACAAAACTCCAACGGGAAAGAAACACCGCGTGATTTCTAATTAGGTTTCTTTAATATGGCTGTGTATTTTTCCATCTGTTTTGTTATAAAGTTAGAATCGCCTTTATATATATATATACACATTACCTTGACATTTCAAAACATATAATATATAGAATTAGTAAATGAAAATTGTTTCCGATTTATGGAAAAGATGACATTTATTTATCGATTTTGCCACCGGAATTTTGCTGAGCTTAGCGCTATTGCCTAAGAAACATAAGTGTCAGTTCATTTAAGTGTTTTTCCGCGTGAAAATCATAAACCCCCAACAGTATTAACTACAGCATGCTTAATTGGTTTCTTCTTCTTCTTTTTTTTTAAAAACTCAACGTTTACCGTTATATATACATATATATATATATACTGATATACATATATATATATATATATATATAATGAGTTCATCAATTTTTTTGGTAACGCATGATAAGGTATCTTCATATATATGAATTTTTTAAAGATATAAAATATGAAAATTGCAAGATAATAGCCATATATTTATATACATATTACAACGCAAAATTTATATAAAAAAAACTGGATTGAAAGATGGAAATTAAAACGCATAAGCATAATTGTAAAATGGTGGTTAAGCAAATATAAAAACAAGGGCATGAAAAGGTGGGACAGAAAGAAACCAAATGGATTGTTGGGTTTGACCTAAACCAAAAGTAGTCGCCCATGAAAACGGGCCAACGACATTGACGACCTCGAGATGATGCGTAGAGAAAAATATTATTCGCCTTTGTTATTATTATTATTATTACTGTAATCAATAATCATCGCGAGTCAATCATCCGATTGCGATAAAAAATCGCTGCAAATTTTCTACGACTTTTGCCACATTTAACTACAATTTTTTTATTTATTTTATTGCTTAAATTACGTTGTTGGATAATGTGTTTATGTGATTTTATTATTCATCGGTCGTGATCCTCTGGTTGACGATGTTAAATTAAATAAACTAGACTTATAATTATTTATTGAACAAACACAACTAATTAACGGTAAAATTTCATGCGTTCTACTCGCTTGCATCGACAAGGATCTAATCGAATTGCGAACATATAATAATTTATTGTTGTTTATGAAAAATAGTAGGGATGCACTGCTGCGGAAGTTTGAAATTTGAATGAAACGGACGAATTTATTTAATAATGGTGATACAAAAATAATTTAACGCGAGAAAAATATATAAAAAAAGGGAAGATCAAAAAGGTGAAAGATAATAAATGAGGAATGCTAATATCGGGCAGATCAATAACTCAACCACTCCTCTGACTAACTTTTATAGACAGACCCTTTAACTTTTGATTCCTTTTCCAACTTCAATTATTTTATTTTTTTTCTGTATATTCCATTAATTTTATTATTGCTGTTTATTTCCATATTTCACCCATTCTGTATTTTTCCCTTTTTCTCAATCCTGTTGATTGTTTCAGCCCAAATCACTTACGATTCAAAATTGTAAGAATCTTTTGAATTTGAATTATTTAAATATTACGGCTAAAATTAGATCTTACGTATCCAAATCTGCTGTAAGAAGCAAGCTTGATTTTTGTTGTCGATTTACTTGATATACATAGCATGCATGTAGATTCTAATAACGTCCAATAGGCATGTATTGGCAAATAAAACATAAATATATAGAGATACAACGTTATAGGGAAAAAAATCTCATATACAAAAAGGTATGGAAAGAGAATCAAGCGAGGAGGTGGACTTGGGTTTTATTAATTTCCTTGAACAAGTAATAACACAGTAAAAAATGGGAATCCAGTGACATGTCTCAAAAAGTAAATCCAATGTTACTGTGAGATCTTGAAACTTGAAAAGACATATATACGTGTATATACGCATACATAGAGTTTGTATGTATCTATAGAGAGAGAGAGGGGTCGTGGTCATAATCGTTGTGGGGTAGGGGTCTGGCCCGTCTGGGGTCTGGCAACCATGTTTTCTTTTTTGGTTATTAGCTTTGGCTCTTCACTTCTCATTTTCTTCATAAAAGCCCCTTCTTCCTCATCATTCTATTCATCATCACTTCGTCTTTCATCACCACAATCTCTCTCTCTCTCTCTCCCTTGAACTCAGCCGCGTCTCATGGGGGGCGAAGAGATAAGGGAAAGAGAAAAAAACCCTAGATTAAATTGCAGATGGAATTGAAGGGGCTCCTTTTTTGAGGGGAATGTTGTCTGGCTCGAGGACTCTGCTCTTCTTCTCCTTCATCATCATGAATCGTTTCTTCGATTAACGCAAGTAATCGGAGATTCGATTCGAGATCTGAAAATATTAGGGTTTTAGCGTCGTCGGACCAGGCTTCATTCCCCCCAATTATTGCGTCTAGAGAACTTTTCGTTCTAGGGTTTCTATCTGGGCATCCATGTAAAAGGTTCGATCTTTATCACTTTTCGTGAACCAAAACCCGATCTTTGTGATTGTTTTGCAGGTAAAAAGCGCACTTCGATGGTGGGCTGTTCAAGATCTTTGGGTGCGAAAACTAAAAAATTCAGGTCCGTTATATGGTTTTCAGATTGGGGCAATGATGAGGGAATCTGACTTTCTTTCCCCTCCCCTCTGAGATGCAGAAAAGGTTTTCATCATTACGGCCTTTTTCTCATGTCTTCTTTCATGGCTTATTATTATTCGCTATGATTTTGTCATCATTGCTTTTTCCTGTCAGACCGCAATTAACCTAATATATATGGATCTCGTGTGGTCATGAATGATGATTGTCTGTTTGTTTTTGTTTCACTTCAGATCTGTCTGTTTCTCATCTAACATCCAGAGATCTACCAGATCTGAAGATTTCAGAGATTAATGCAACGAATCCTAGGTGTTTATTTATTTCATTTTCACTTTTCAATGTTTTTTTCCTGAGTTGATTGAGGAGAGGACTCACTGCCATTTCTTGCATGGATGATGAATAATTTCGATGTTCTTGCAGCATGATGAGTAATCTGGTTGCATAGGATCCGACCACCCCCTCTCTTGCCTTTGCTAGTTAGCCAATTTTGTGTATCTATTTGTTAAATCTTTTGTATTATCTCCCCCTTGTTAAAAGAAATTTAACCTTATCGGCATTTGCCCACCTGATAATATTCAAGTATATATATGTTGATATGCGGTCGACAATTTTGGAGATGTAATACAATAATCATTAAATAAGAGTATGAGCTTATAACTTGTAATATACATGATATATATATACGGTGATCAGACATTTTTTTTTCAATAAAGATCGGAACAATTTCCGATTCAGTGTTTGCTCGAAGGTTGCCACGTTATAAAATATGGCTTTAAGAGCACAAGAAAGAAGGCTGATTTAATGTTGGGTTTGGACCTCAGGAACAATTCGACAACAACCTATCACGATGCCTAAACAGACAGCATTAGTCTTAATATCCATTACATTAATATGTAACATTAGCGAAATAGTTGGCATTTCATTCGGGTCTCAGCCTCGCGAGCGACTCGATGATTAGAACCACGACTGACATTGATTCCGTTTTAATTATTTTATTTATATGTATGATGAGGATGGGAAGAGACATCGAAGGCAAGGAGATTAATTTATCATGGAACAAATAGACTGTGTGACAAACTTCTCTTTTTTGGGAAATGGAATTTCTTTTGACATTTACAAAATAAGAAAGATTAAAAAAATGGAATAGTATACAGAAAAATAAAAAGATAGAAATAGAAAAAGTAAATGTGAAAGACTTTTTTCGAAAATAGACTTTGCTTTTTGGTTTCCAAAAGATTTTTCATGGATTACACAAATTTCCATGACATATCGCGTTTTTTCTTTTTCCATGTACTTTTGAAGACTTTGACCTCTCTTATTCAGTGTCTTTCCTACGAGCTACGTGTAGGATTTGATGTAATTTTAATTAACATTCCCTTTCGAAATAATATTTATTTTGTTCCGTAACATTTGGTGTCATATCACCCAAGTTAAGAGAAAAAATATATCAATTATGTTTATGAACATGGGAAAAATAGTGGAAAACTCCACGTGAGTTGGCAAAAAAACATGATCAACATAGCGAGAGGTTGGGGGTTCGACTCCTTACCCGTTTACCTGATGTCTGTCAGTTACGGCTGATTGACCGTTCATGTGTGTGTTGCAGGCACGTACGTGTGGACGTGAGGTTTACTCCATCAGCGCGTTCTATATCCACCTAGTGGTGATCGAGCGTTAGGCACGTCTGATGGTCAGATCTCTGTGAGATCGTTAGGCGTAGGTGATGGCTACTTCGATTCTGTATGTAAAGGTTGGGTAGCAGCGGTGGTTCCCAACATTACCAAAAAAGAATATAAAAAATATCATATATTTTGTTTTCATAAAGTTTATTATGCGAGGAAAAAACATAATATTACAAACAATTGGAATTTTCACGTACTAATATACAATGGTCATTCAAGTTTTTGCTATTTTTTAACAACTATAGTTTTGTAACATAATTCATTTTTATAAGTGAAAATATATGTGATTTTTTTACACTTTTTAATTGTTTGTGGTTTTTTCCATTTGCTTTTATTTTAATATTCTGTTAATTATACATATTTTCTTCTTAAATAGTTGTTGTCTGATTTGTCAAGCAAATTAGTCTGTTTGATTTCACGCGTGTTAACATGTATATTTAACATGCAAATTATTTATTTCATTTCATTAATATACATAAAACACCTTATGAATGATGTCCATTTGTTGAGAAATAATCCCTTTTGCAAAGAAAGTGGGGAAATATTATTAATCAAATATTCGAACGTCGAGAAGTTGTAAAATATGTAAACCTATATACCTGGGCTTGAAGAGGCCCATGTATCGATTGGATTGATATGAAAATCGAACAAAGGGCCCTTTCTCACATTAGGCCCATTAATCTAATTTATAAATCATTGTAAAGTACGTACCAAAAGGATTCTTTATTTTAGTGACACTATCCATTACCAATGGAGTTTCCTAATCATACATAACAACGATATATATATATATATATATATATATATATATATATATCACATAAGTAATTACGATGTTTCGTGCATGCGCGAATTGAATAGTCAATTTCCAGAAAATTTACAAAAATGGGAAATGATAATATTTATCCGATGTGTAGTACTCGACCCACCACCGCCCACTGAACTGACCTTTTCATATTTCGGTTTCTCAATAATTTCATAAAGCTGTGGATATTGTTACCGAAATAAACTGTAATCATTATGGCATGTAATATCTATATTGAATTTCAGTAGGAATCCAATCAAGCGTTATACAGTGAATTCCGATATGCTGTGTCATAAATCGGACCGGATAATATAATCTCATCCCACATTCAAGGAGAACCAAAAAGTTAAAATTACAATGAAATATGTTTCTAATAATACGGATATAACGTTTTGGATATATATCTCATGGATACTATTTTTTATTTGAAAAAAATAATTTTATAAAAATATTTAGCACTTACTACGGATAACTGTTTTTGTAATAAATCTAATGATGTTGATTTAAGTTTTCTGTTAGACCGACAGGTATCTCTCGTTTTTTTTTTTTCTAATTATAAAATTTCCAAACTCTTAATAGTATACTGCCTTCGATATGACGACTATCAAACACCCACTTGGCTGTTTTTCCCGTTCGGTTTAAAATTAAATAAGCAGGCAGACCAGAAAATGAAATTGTTTAAAAGCATATTGTAATATTGTAATGGTTACGATACAATATTATTAGTCTGCTCTCAATTTGACACCATATTGTATTGGTTACTAAAAAATTATCAGCATAGATTGTTCTTTTCACAAATTGTTGGTCAACTTTGTTAAGATTCGATTATATATATATATATACACATTATTGTATATAAACAAACAGAATACATAGTTTCAGTTTCAAAAGGCTTGCGCTTGGCGGACACAAATGGGTAGGAGGGTTGAACATGTTAAATGTGTGGGACGTGGACATGTTCTAAAACCCGTTGGTCCTTGTTCATCGAATTGCCCCCGACATATATATATACATACGTACGTACATGAGTAATACGTACGTCTTCTTGACACGTATTGGGCACATATGACGTGGAATTTAACAATATCCTCAAGCCATCTTTATCATGTTACGATACCACGTACGACAGCAGTAACCGCTAGAAAAAAAGAAAAACATTATACAAGCGCAACTATTCTTCATGACGATATATTTCCACGTGTCGAAATTCTCAACCGGAATCTATGTTCCATAGTCCATGTCTCAAATCAATCGGTCATGATGGTTGTGCATTTTTATTTGTACGTTTTTTATTTATTTTGGACGGCAAAATATAATCTAATAAAAATGAATATATATATTTTGTCTTTTTAGCGAAAACCATCTCCGTGGAATTATATCTTTTTTATTCGCCTCGTCGTGTAACAGAGAGTCACACTAAGCGGTGACGTATTATTGGTTGTGCATGACACGCCTTTATATAGTTAAAATATACTCATCAACCGTATTAATATATGGTTTAAATGTCGTATAATATGAATAAACCTATACAAAAACATGTTTGTCATTAAATTTTTCAAGAAATCATAAGCGTTTTTAATCGAGTCTATCAATATTTCGGAACCGCATATATATACGTTTTATTGGAACTAAGACCGATCGGTTGATAATTGTTATAATGGGTTCGGTATGGGAATTAAAAAAAAACGTATTAATAGGCTCATTACAGAAGTATATACTAGGAGAAATATATGTTGTCATTTAAAATGAAGATCTGTGTTGATTTTTCTTTATAAGTCTGTAATAACCAATAATGGAATATTAAAATTTTCCAGCTGTAAAGATTTCTCCTTTCTCTGTTTTTTTCCTATTCCGCAGTTAAAGTATCAATTAAATAATTTACTCAAAATTGGAATCCATATCAATAATTACTACAAGAATTTTTTTTATATGTTTGTATAGAATACTCCAGATTCTGCAAATATTGTGGGACATAAAAGGTATATACTTGGTAGCATTTCTTGTCATTTTACAAACAGTTTTAAAAGAAAAATATCTATGTAGTGTTATTGTATATTTATAAAGCAAATAACTACAAAATCTGTATTTAAAAAACTACTATTTCCTATAAT